TAGATAAAAACAACCAGATGGGGGATCACAGGGAAACCATTTAAATGACCGTGTTCAGCGTGAAGAACAGTGGCCACGTAACTTGACAATGTTTAGGCAGAGGGTTTGCTTTTTGTAGGCATCATGGCAGAAAAGAGGTTTAAGGTCTGATAAGAACAATTATATTTATTTTGAAATAGTAACCTTTTTCTAAAAATGTCCCTTGGATCTTGTTCAAGACTGCACTTCCTAATGACATACATAATCTGACCAACTTTTACTGGCCATACTGTTGGACCCCACATACTGCAACGAATTTAAATCTACTCAAACACATAATCTATTGTTAAGCAAAGTAAAATATAGGCTACAACAAAAATGTAGACTTGGATCTTTGCTGTAATGTTTTCTGTTTTGTTGAATTTATAAAGTTACTGGATTAGAACAAGTTAATGTATACGTTTAAGACAGTTGTGTGGGGCAACTGGAAAATGACTAGGAATTTTCTATTGTACTCTTAACAAGGCTTTTGTTACTTAATTGTTAATTTGCAGAATATAAACATATCTGTATGCAATACAAATTAGGAATAATGATGTCAAATTTGGTGAATATTGGCTAAATACTTGTTGGGAAATGTTCACTCATAGCTTCTGGTTCTCTCTCACTTCTGACATGTCAGCTGATCTCCAGTATAGTTGGACACGTTTTAGAGTCCAATTAATAACATTGGCTTCCTCTTGGCATCCTATCTTAAAGTGAAGTTTATAATTCTATAAAACAATAAGCCAACATTATTTGAATTAGTTGTTTTCTTTTGCCATGGCTACAGTAGCTATACATATAATAAGTAAAGCATAAATGATTCATGCTCAACCTACTCTTTCCATTTTCCTGGCTAATTCTGCCTCTTCCTCATACGTTTACCCTCTACAAAACAACCGTCCATCATTTCTAGCTCAGTAAGACTCCGAAAACAACTGAAAAGAAGTAAAAGGACAGATTTTTATTCAAATCTTTCAGATATGCCTATTATTTCTCCTAACTCAGTCAGCTACTCCATATTGAAGGATAAACTTTCAGTTAAGAAAAATAACAAAACAAACAAAAGACCATTGATCCTATCTTTCAAATAAAACCTACCTGTTCTATCAAATCTACTTAAGATTCACCTCTGCCAATTTTTGTGTAAATAAATCCTGAGCTGTTGACCTGACCTTGTCTATAACCTCTAATTGTAGCAGATAAAATAGGTAGTAGTTTTGCTTAATTACAACATAATTCCTTCAAATGTTGCTTATGCATGAGATTTCAAGGAGCTTTAATAATATGGAAAATGTGAAGAGCCTGCCATATTCCACTTGTTCAGGACAAAAAAGCCCTGACAAAGGCTGCTAAATTTCTTGTCTGTAATCAAAGAATAATTCCTGCAACGTTTGGGGAAAGTACACAGTGGTTGAATCCAAGATTTAAGTTTTTAAGACAATTCAGCCTTTTTTAATGGAACTGTGACTGGTGCTTCCATAATATTCTAATCATTCTGCAGTCTGATATAAAGGCATTTTGTATCTGCTGGAAAACCAGTGGTAGTCTTAACCTGTAATACATGTATTTTCGTCTAATGTTGCTTACTAATGTCCATCTTGAGTAGAGTATTAGGATGCAACTTGCTAATGAGGAAAAGATTTTAAAAAACAATCTTTCCCCAGCACCCGAAAAAAAACCCTGAAGGCATGAATTCATTTTCAAAAAAATAATTTAATCTCAGAATTCTTCCAGTTTGGTGAAAGGAAGTCTGGATGGAGTAAGCCTTGATGATTGCACATAATTTTATGCATGCAAAATTTTTTGGAAAGGCTAAGAAAATGCTAGGGAAATGTGATCTAGATGAAATTACCATAAGGTAGATGTACGACTAGTTGAAAGACCATACTCAAAGTAGTTATCCATGGCTGTCTGTCCAACTGGGAGGATGTATTTAGTGGAGTCCCACAGGGGTTAGTCCTGGGTCTGGTACTATACAGTATTTTCGTTTAATGACATGCATAATAGAGTGGAGAATAGACTTCTAAAATTTACAGATGACACCAAGCTGATAAGAGGTTGCAAGCTCTTTGGAGGACAAGATTAGAACTTAAAACAACTTTAGCAAATTGGAGAATTGGTCTGAAATCGCCAAGATGAAATTCAGTAAAGAAAAGTGTAAAGTACTACACTTGGAAGGAAAAAGTCAAATGCACAATTATAAAATAGAGAATAACTGGCTTGGCTATAGTACTGCTGAAAAGGATCTGGAAATTATAGTGAATCACAAATTGAATGAATCAACAATGTGACACAATTGTAAAAAATGTCTGTTATCATTCTGGGGTGTATTAACAGGTATCGTATATAAAACACTGGGGACAGGGAGGTAACTGTCCTGTTGTACTCAGCACTGGGGAGGCCTCAGCTGGAGTACTGTGTCCACTTCTGGATGCCACACTTTAGAAAGGATGTGGACAAATTGGAGAATTCGGAGAAGAGCAACAAAAATTATAAAAGGTTTAGAAAACCTGGCCTGTGAGGAAAAGTTTTAAAATAAACTGGGCATATTTAGTCTTGAGGGGAAAAAAAGACAAAGTGGGGACCTGGTAAGTCTTCAGATATGTTAAGGACTGTTGTGATCCGGACTGGTCAATTGTTCTCCATGTCCACAGAAGGCAGGACAAGAAGTAATGGGCTTAATGTGCATCAGGGGAGTTTTAGATTAGATATTGGAAAAACTTTCTAACTATAAAGATAGTTTAAACTCTGGAATAGGCTTCCAAGGGAGGTTGAGGAATCCCCATCGTTGGAGGTTTTTAAGAACAGGTTAGACAGCCGCCTGTCAGGGATGGTCTAGGTTTACTTGCTCCTTCTCCGCACAGAAGTCTGGACTTGATGACCTCTTGTGTTCCCTTCCAGCCGTACATTTCTATGATTCTATGCTTGGTGTAGAATTACTCATTAAGAAGCTGTGAATTAAGCGGCCTGCATGTGAAGCTATGATTCAAATGGAAAAGCCCTTCTTATGAGAGCTCAATCACTGAGCAAAACTCTCACACTGGTGCTCTGTGATTGAGGAATGGCAGCATAGCTCGTGGATTTAGGAGAGTGCAGACTAGTTGTTCATTTTTGTCCAAATTTCAAAAGAGACAAAACGATGCCAAGAGTATTTTTCCTTTTGTTATTCCCAGGGCTTTTTAAGTGTCCTATTCTGCTAGGGGAGATTACTTGCAGTCATTAGAAAGAAAATTTGTGCAAGGGATACGTACTATGTAATATGATGTTATTTTTGCAATACCTCAAGTTGTTCCAGGATTTTACTAAAAAGTGAATAGTGTCATTCATGACTAGTCAATAAATAACTTAATTGTTAATTAACTGATAGAATATTATGGTATTTGTCTTGATTTGAATAAGCCAGAGCAAGAGAAAAAAAGTATTTACAGCCTAGATATTTTCTTTCTCCTGATGAGTTAGAACTTTTAGAGTAAACAATTTAAGTATATATTTAGGGGGTGTGAGCCATGTAGTTAAGATTGTGAAAGTGTACCAACCAAAGTCCAGCATTCAGGCAGTCCTCGTACCTTCCTGCTGTAGGCATTACTAACGTTATGTAGAGGAATCCTTCATGAACATTCTAAAATTTGAAAGGGAGCTCCATAAATGTGTTCTACCTTAATTTTATATGCAAAGTTTTATTATGTCATGAATAGAAGAGCTAATACTTGGATTTAGATTTGTAATGAGTCCTCTACATAGCAGATGTCACATTTGTGTGTATTTTTCCCAGCTAAATTGTTTTTTAAATGATAATCAGTTTTTCAGTATGTTTACATGGAGCTGCTCTGAGAATCTTCACTTTTACTGTAGTTTCAGTCATAGGCCTAGAGATAGTAATGTAGGGTTACCATTCGTCCAGATTTACCCGGACATGTCCTGCTTTTTGTGTTAAAAATAGCGTCCGGGGGGGAATTTGCAAATCACTAAAGATGTCCGGGATTTCCCCCCCAGGCAGAGCGAGGCGCAGCTGGGAGGGCTGCAGGAAATTCAGCCGCTCGCATGGGGCTCTGGCAGCCAGAGCCCTTCCCCCGCAGCTTGCCGGGCTGGACTCCGGAGCAGCTGTAGAGCTTCTCCTCCCCCGCATTCTGAGCCGGCCGGCCTGCCGGGCCGTTCGCATCGGGCCTTGGCAGCTCCTCCTCCCCTGCTGCCCAGCGCCCCGCTCCGGCAGCACTGAGTGGGGTGGGACCAAGTTGTGTGTTGCGCTGGGGAGCGCAGCCACGTGTCCGGCTCCGCACAGAGCCCAACACCATGTTCTGAGCGGCAGGGTAAGGGGGCCAGGGGGCAGGAGAAGGGGCAGGGAGATTTTGGAGGGGGCAGTCAAGAGACGGGGGCGGGGGTCGGGAGTTCGG